TGTTCTTCTTTTTTCAGATCAAAGAAGTAGTGCTGTGACCCCACCTCGGCAGCTGTCCTCAAGCACCTCACCTGTTGATAGCCCTTCATGGTCAAGCAGCCCCATGTCCTCTCCTCAACCATCTCCACACCCACATATAAAGAAAAACTGGCCTGAAGCCTTTCAGGTGAACTGGAACAAAATGCCCTCAGATTTGCTTTCTACAGTTATGAGTGGTAAGAGGCCCTCGCCATCTGACAGACGGCAGTTTGTGAGAGTGTTAGTTGATGAAATGAGAAAGTACGAAGCTAACCCCACAAGAGCACAATGCCTCATCAGCACCAGAAACGTGATAAGACAATACCCAAAATCCTTTGCTGATACCATGGACGATGGCAAGACAATGATTGGTGGAGGCTATGAATCACTTCTGAGCCAGGTTAAAGTATGCGTAGAGCAGTTGAACAGGAACAACACCCTTGCTCAACATAGAGCATCAAAGGATGCCACAGGGGCTGTCCCAGCTCGAGGACCGGCAGACAGCTATGGATGCACAAGATGGCAGCCAGAGCTACCACCTGAGGAAACTGAAGATAGCCTTGAAGGTTTGAGACAAAAGATGACAGATATCTTTAGACATGAAGGTTTGGCGGGTGCAGGAAGGGAAGAAATACACAATTTGATGGAGAAAACATATTCTCTGCAACGCAACTCAATCAATGCAACACCAGCCGCCCCTCTGGAGGACATTAAAAGTCAGTGGCCCTACTTGTTTCTGCCGAGGAGCATGTGTGCACACTTTGAACTGCTCACAGACATTTACATCCTGAGAATAATGGAGGCATTTCCTGAAGACCAGGGCAAAATCATCTCGGAATACTTCAAGGCAAATCCCAGCAATGATGAAGTGAAGAAGGTCCTCTCCCACGAAAACGGTACAACATTCCCCTATATTCTGGATCTACTGATGGCACACTTCAAAGAGCAGAGAGATGCCCTCATCTTGCAGGCAGATGTGAGTATAACTGATAACTTTAATTCAGATAAGCCTTTAAAAGTATTTAAATATAATGAGTGGACCATAGTCTATCTTTTTAAATAATTTTCATGAAGTGAAGTTGATGGCAACCATAGTTAAAACATTGTTGAATTGTATTGACATTAACTTAGGACTGTAATGATATTTTTGTCTCCTATACAGGTGTCAGACACAGCGGC